CCTGTATTCCATTTTGTTACCAACACAGAAATCAGGACTTCATTTCTTACCTAGATTCTTGAAGTATCCTCCTCATCTCTCTCAGTCCATCTGACAAAATCCAGCCAATGTGATCTTCCAGGGACGGCTGAACAATTCCCATTGCATAGTGAATGACGTCCCAGCTTTTAGCACCACCATCAATATTCATTGCTAGAGGAGACTTTCTTTACCCTTAGAGTCCCATTTTTGAGAGAAGATGAGGTGTGTTATATGGACAGTAACTGAATGTCAAGTCTTTTTTTTTTTTGAGACAAAGTCTTACCCTCTCACCAGGCTGGAGTGCGTCGGCACCATCTCGGCTCACTGCAATCTCTGCCTCCCGGGTTCAAGCGATTCTCCTGCCTCAGCCTCCCAAGTAGCTGGGATTACAGTCAGCTGACACCATGCCCAGCTAAATTTTTTGTATTTTTAGTAGAGACAGGCTTTTGCCACGTTGGCCAGGCTGGTCTCAAACTCCTGACCTCAGGTGATCCACCCGCCTCAGCCTCCCAAAGTGCTAGGATTACATGCACAAGTCATCGTACTCAGCCCAAGTCATCTTTAAAGGGGGCACAAAACTCCTACTCTGAGGTCAAGGAAAGGAGCAGGCAGGGTGACTCCAGGGGTGACCCCAAGTGATCCTGGTCTGTGCCCATCATGTCTTTCCAGGTGTAACTTCCACTTTTTTCCTGGCCTAGAGCTTTCCGGTCTGGTCTCACTGTTCCCTAAAAGTGACCCTTTTCCCATCTGAGTCTTTGCCTCTGCCTGGAACACTTTCACTCACATTCCTGTGTGTTGAAATCCTACCCATCATTTGATATCCAGCCCAAATCCAAGGACCCCATGGATCCCCTATGGGAATGGATCCTCCGGAAGCACTGTCCTCTCTTATGGCACTCTGCACACCTACTGCGCGCAGCACCTGACGTGTCTCGTATTTCATCTCCCCCATTGAACCACTAGACTGGGAGCAGACATGGAAAACCGGAGACCTTAAGCCTGGGGCAGCCTGTGAATGTGTTTTGTTAGTTTGCATATTTTCCCCCACCAAATTTAATTTATTGAAAAATTCTAACCTATGTTAAACACACAGAGAAGCTGAGAATATGATATAATAATGTATATTTGGGACTTATCCCCAAGAATGAACAGATTTGCTCCTGAAACCTGGCCACCTGCTTTTTAAGATAGAAATTGTTGCACATACCGATTGAGCACTAGCTCACGCATCGCACTCCTGGAGCAGGTCTTCATGCTGCTTTCTCAAATGCAGAGTTAGTCACTATTGTTTAGAAATCATGGGATTTCACATCATAACCGTCAGCCTCCCACCACTTTTCTGCCAGTTTTCACCAGTCCATCCCAGGCTCTGGGGCCCACCCTGACTCTTGAATCCTGCCCACGAGTCTGTGGCTGAGTCTGGCAACCGAGCTCCCTCATCTGCCCTCTGTGCACGCTTTTCAGAAGGCAGAAGGAGTTCCTGATGCCCCTCTCCCTCCTTCACACCACTGCCCAGGGTGTGCCCCCTGCCTGAACCCAGAAATCTAAGGCCTTGTTCAAGCCCCACTGGCTCCTGTGGTTTTACCCAGTGACTTCAGCTCAGCTCCGTTCTCTATACTCATATACACCTAGCCCTTAAGCCTGTGGCTAAGCACTTCCTGTGCGTTCATTCATTCCTGCCAGGTACCCTGCAGAGCCACCCAGGTGGAGAAAAAGAACACAAAAGTCCCGGCCAGGTCAGGTTTCCTTGTTCTTTCCTCTGAGCCTTTGCTGCCCCCGTGTGGTGCATCACGTGAGGTGCAGTGGGGCTGGGTGAAGGTGGCCTGCCCACGTGGCACCTTCAGGTATAAGAAGGGATGGCCGGTGGCTCACGCCTGTAATCCCAGCACTTTGAGGCGGGTGGATCACGAGGTCAAGAGATCGAGACCATCCTGGTCAACATGGTGAAACCCCGTCTCTACTAAATATACAAAAAAATTAGCTGGGCACGGTGGCGCATGCCTGTAATCCCAGCTACTCGGGAGGCTGAGGCAGGAGAATTGCCTGAACCCAGGAGGCGGAGGCTGCGGTGAGCCGAGGTCGCGCCATTGCACTCCAGCCTGGGTAACATCTTGTTGGCCACAACACTCCGAGGCTTTTGTGCTTGTTCGGCTGAGACTGCTGACCTATCCTCCCCCTCGTCTCTTTCTTTGAACAGCCCTTGTTGCCCATTGGAGATATGTCCTTTTCCTTCACTTCCCTGTGAAAATTGCCCTGGTGGTTTCATAGGTGTGGGGTTTCACTAGGCTGAAAAATAAGGTGTAAGGCTCTTGTCCTGGATTCCACCATCGTCCTTTTGTTCCCATGGTATCTGGCATTAGCACGTGGATGGTGTGCATGCCTTACAAGATCTGCACTGACGCTGGCCCTTGCATTTTGTGCGGTGGCCGGAGAAGGATGGGTGCTTCACTTTTCACCTTACCCCACTGCCTGGGGTCACTCCTCCCTGATGCCCGTGCTGACCATCTGTCCCTTGGGGTTTCGATGGTGGTGGAAACCTGTTCATCTGGACCAGGATATAATTCCCTTTTCTTTTCAGAATGAACATGAAAACTAACTCCATTGTGGTAGTTAAATGCAGCTGATTAATGACCTGTTAATTTCCTGTGTAAGAAAGAAGCCATCTTGATGTGTGGGTGTGACTCTCATCATGGCTGTGATACACCCAGGTCCAGAGGGAGACAGCTGCCCCGCCCCACTCTCTGGACCCACAGCAACCTCCTCACCTGCTTCAGTTCAGCTCTGTCCCTGACCCCCTGACAGTGTTGCTTTTGACTGTTTTCATTGATTGGTTAATGACCGTGTCATCTTTGAAGACTTCAGACTTGTCTTGATTGGTCTCCTGTCTTCAGGAAAATTGAGAAGAATGAGAGACCCAGTGATTAAGGAGGAGATGGATGGAAGAAACGGGCTAAGGATACAGAAGAATAAAGGAAAAAAGGATGTGATTTAAAGAAGGAAGAGAGAAAGGAGAGAGAGGCAGTTAAATCCGTGGATGTGGGATAATAGACTTCTACTTTTGGGCTGAATAGAATGTATATTTTGGGGGAAGTTCACACTTGTTTTCTTTTTCTTTTTTTTTGAGACGGAGTTTCGCTCTCGTTACCCAGGCTGGAGTGCAATGGTGCGATCTCGGCTCACTGCAACCTCTGCCTCCTGGGTTCAGGCAATTCTCCTGCCTCAGCCTCCTGAGTAGCTGGGATTACAGGCACGCGCCACCATGCCCAGCTAATTTTTTGTATTTGGTAGAGACGGGGTTTCGCCATGTTGACCAGGATGGTCTCGATCTCTTGACCTCGTGATCCACCCGCCTCGGCCTCCCAAAGTGCTGGGATTACAGGCGTGAGCCACCATGCCCAGCTAATTTTTTGTATTTGGTAGAGACGGGGTTTCGCCATGTTGACCAGGATGGTCTCGATCTCTTGACCTCGTGATCCACCCGCCTCGGCCTCCCACAGTGCTGGGATTACAGGCGTGAGCCACCATGCCCAGCTAATTTTTTGTATTTGGTAGAGACGGGGTTTCGCCATGTTGACCAGGATGGTCTCGATCTCTTGACCTCGTGATCCACCCGCCTCGGCCTCCCACAGTGCTGGGATTACAGGCGTGAGCCACCATGCCCAGCTAATTTTTTGTATTTGGTAGAGACGGGGTTTCGCCATGTTGACCAGGATGGTCTCGATCTCTTGACCTCGTGATCCACCCGCCTCGGCCTCCCACAGTGCTGGGATTACAGGCGTGAGCCACCATGCCCAGCTAATTTTTTGTATTTGGTAGAGACGGGGTTTCGCCATGTTGACCAGGATGGTCTCGATCTCTTGACCTCGTGATCCACCCGCCTCGGCCTCCCACAGTGCTGGGATTACAGGCGTGAGCCACCATGCCCAGCTAATTTTTTGTATTTGGTAGAGACGGGGTTTCGCCATGTTGACCAGGATGGTCTCGATCTCTTGACCTCGTGATCCACCCGCCTCGGCCTCCCACAGTGCTGGGATTACAGGCGTGAGCCACCATGCCCAGCTAATTTTTTGTATTTGGTAGAGACGGGGTTTCGCCATGTTGACCAGGATGGTCTCGATCTCTTGACCTCGTGATCCACCCGCCTCGGCCTCCCACAGTGCTGGGATTACAGGCGTGAGCCACCATGCCCAGCTAATTTTTTGTATTTGGTAGAGACGGGGTTTCGCCATGTTGACCAGGATGGTCTCGATCTCTCGACCTCGTGATCCGCCCGCCTCGGCCTCTTTAATTGCCCAGGAACCCATGCTGTGGCTCGTTGTGTGATTTGAATGGGGGAAATGCAGGCTTATGAGTGACCAGAATGGCCAACACACATACAGACAGGTCTGCTCCAGAGAGAGACCTTCAGGGAAATTGGCACGGAAACTGGTGGCGGCTGGATGCATTTTTGCTTCTCTCTGCCCTGCTCAGGGCCACTTGAAAAGGCATGCAAACCCTTTCAGATGCCCAGTTCTAGAGAGTCCCCTGCACGGGGTTGGGCAAGAAGGAGGTAACTCAAGAAAGCTGGGGCTCTGCCAAGGATCAGCACCCCATGCTTCAGGGCTCTGCTGTGTCACTGACAAGACCAGTTCAGGCTGCGTGACTCAGTGGAAAGATAAGGACTTTGAAGGCCAGTTGGTTGGTAGCAGGCCTAGCCACTAATCAGTGACTATGAGCAAGTTTCCTCACCAGTAAAATGGGAAGAGTCAGCCACACCTGATAGGTTTCTGATGACTATTAAATGAGGTAATATGTGTCATATGTAGGTCATGTTGCACATGCCTGAAACATAGCAGAGCTTATTCAGTGTTCATCTGCCCTTCCTGACTTCCCCGCTACTCTGCCCACTCCCCAAACCCCAGCTTATTGCTACTCCTCTAAGTGAAAGGTGGTGATACTTGGACATGAAAGGAGGAAAGTATGTATTAATGGAAACCAGGTCAAGCATGAAAACATTTATTGTTCTTCTCATTGAACTGTGTGAAGAAAGAAGAGATTTAAAAGAAAAGAAATGCTCTCTCATTTAAGAGGAGAAATGGAGCTCTAGTAGTAAAAAGAGACCCTCAAGTTAAAAGAGACCACAATTGTTCAGAATCAGTCACTGAGATTTGGACAGAAAGCTCTCTGTCCTCCGGTGTATGGTTAGGACAGAAAGCTTCTGGTTGGGTCAGTGACTGCGCAGGTTTTGATGACACGAGGAAGACAATTTGGCCATTGTGTGAAAGGAGCAGCAGGACTTGGGCGTGTGCTCCTGTCACCTTCTGTGTGAAGCCAGGAGGATGGAGCTTGATAACATCCTCCCATGTGGGCATCTCCGTCATCCTTAAATCACTGAGTCTTGGGCTTCAGCGTCTCCTTGTGCCGGTCCACAAGGGAACCAACCCACTCCATGGTTTTCTGCCTGGCTTCCTCCCAGCTGTAGAGCGGCTTATATGCCAGATCTCGCTGAGCCTTCTTGTAAGAGAAGGTGTACGTGCTATTTGACAATGTCACTGTGTGCCGGTTGAAGGGGGGTCGATAGGTGTAAATTGGGCTGAGCAGGAAGCTCACTGCTTCCAGCAGGAAGGCAACCCAGTACCTCAGGACTAGAGGAAGGCTCCAACTGGAATCAAGGCGGAGGCCGAACTCTTTGCTCAGGCTGTAATTAAAGGCATCATAGCTTTGGTGAGGTGTGTCGTCTGAGATGTAATAGAACTGTCCTTGGACACTTGGGGCCTTCCTGGGGTCCTGCAGGGCCCTCAAGGCCAGAATGTGGGCCCAGGCCACGTTGCCAACATACACTGGGTTGACTGTGGAGAACTTGCCAGTACTTGGCAGGATCCCCCTGTTGTCGAGGGCTTCATTTACTGTGGCAGAAAGGAATGGGCTTCCTTCCCCATAGATGTACATGGGTCTTAAGGCACAAGTGTACAAGGTGCCACCGTTTTTCAGAGTCCACCCATTAGCCGCCAGCACAGCCTTCTCAGCAAGCCGTTTGCTGTGTGGATAGGGAGCAGACAATGTGCTTTCCAGAGGCTGATCTTCATGACCGTTCTGGATGACTTCCTTGTAGGAGCTGGGCCCGGCCACCTCTACGCTGCTGGTGTAGATGAAGACTGGCACACTAGCGTGGACACAGGCTTCCAACAGGAGCTGGGTACCTACCCACGAAGAGCAAGCTGTCAGGGTCAGGAAATACCCCTAAGGGGGGCCAACCACGTGCATAAATCCATGTTCCCCACTCCCCACTCCCAAGTGCAGGGGTTATAACAGACTCGGGGTACTTTCTTCTATGGCTCTAACTGAGACTGGGTCATTTCACAGCCATAGGAAAAACACCAAAATGAAAAGAAACTGGCGTGGGTTATGGAGAGTGAGGATTTCTAAACTTTTGTGTGTATGGATGTGTGTGTGCGCGCACATGTATACTTCAATTTTGGCAAAGGACCTAAGTAATACAACATTACTTTGTATTTTGCCAAGAAAGCATGTTGAAAAATTATGTGACATCAATGCCATCCAAGGGAGATTGTTGAAAAATGAAAACATCAGGAAGCTATACTCTGAGAACAGACAGTCCTAGTCCTCATTCAGAAAAGGTCAGTGGGAGAATTTACATCACACACACACACACAGTTGTATATAAGCAATACACACTCTTGGACATACATGCAACTGCTGGCATTTTTCTCACTTTGAGTGGACTAATAAACTTTGTCACAAGCCCCATCCCTGGCGTCACTGAGCAACAGTGGGCTGTGGGAACTACTGGAGACCCACGCTCTTTTCCTGACTGGGCTTTCCGTGGGAAAGCTGCTTCCAGTTCTGGCTGTGACTGTTTACCTGGTTAGGTAAAATGGGGGCTGACAAACCTTCCTTTAAGCCCTGCCCTGGCATTTCCTGTGGAGCCTGCTGGAGGACTGGGGAGGGAGTGTGCCCTCTGCTGGTAACACCTGCACTGGGAGGACCATCCAGCATCCCCTGAGCTGTGTGGAAGCGAAGCTCATGGAGGTGTTTGGAGTGCCTTCCCTTGAAGAAGGAAGAAATTTCCTAGTCAAAGGAGTTTTCAAAAATTAATCTCCTGGCAGAGAAAATTTGAGTTAGTTTACCTTCAAGGGGGAATTGACCAAGATTGTGAGGTATTTTCTAAGCCTGGGAGTGATAATGGTTTTAGGAAACAGATGCCTCTGGCACTTCCCCTGTCACTCCATATCCCCTGTTGTGGGGAGCTGCAGAGAGCAGGAATTAAAATGAAAAACCGGTTACTCTTAGCATCCTCCGTGCACTGGAGGGGCACCTAGAGGTGATGGGTAAGCAGAAACTGGAAGATTTTTGTTGTGTTTTGTTGTTGTTGTTGAGATGGTGCTGGAGACCCCAAAGCAATTAGTTGCTTTAGAAAAGGCTTCAGAGTAGACTGAATGTGCAGGCCCAGGCTGGGGTTGGGGTGCTGCTGTGCTGAAGAGACTGGGCTCTGGGAATCAGAGGGTGAGACTGTACGGGAAGTTTCCTTAAGGAAATGCGCCTGAATTTAAGGTTGTCGGAAAGCCATGCCTTGGAGGAACTCCCAAGCATTTAAGGGACGAGGGTGGAGTGAGGTTCACTTTGGGCGCCTGGCTGGAAATGGCTCTGTAATGCAGGCCTGTGGTGAGCTGGAGAGATCGCATTCTGTATCCTGGGAAACTCTTACTGTTCAGAAAATACTGTGGGAAGGCGTGTGCAGGGTGACTCTGTCCTGACAGACCTCTGTGAACCAGCTGTGCCAGTTCTCCCAGGAGGACTTCTTTGAGGTGGGCAGGAAGACTCTGAATGTTCTTTTTACGGGAGTGCTGGGAAGGGAAGAGCATCGTCCCTTTAAATGATATGGGAGGGGGGAAGGGAGGTGCTGGCTGGAGGAGGCTGGCTAGAACTCCACCCCCAGGGACCTAGATGTGAACAAGCATTTTCCGCCCAAATGTTGCGTTTCCCAAGACCACCCTGGCCTGCCATGTACTCATTCTGTGCCTTTAAACCCCCCAGACCCTAGCAGGCACACACATAAGCTGCCGGACAATGAGAGGAGTAATTTGTCGGAAGACAGAAGGGGCTGGATATCAGGAGGGGTACATCAGCAGAGGAAAGCAGGGGCAGCTGGACACTGCCGGGAACACACCGACCTGCAGAACAGTGTGGAGTTTGCCTGGGGCACTCAGAGAAGGGTTGGGCCTTTGAGCAGCCAACTCCAGGGAAAACCCTCCCCTTCTGGCATCCCCCAGCTGCTGAGAGCTACCTCCACTCAACAAAGTTGTGCACTCATTTTCCAAGCCCAGGTGTGATCCAATTCTTAAGGCAAGAACCTGGGATACAGAAAGTCCTTTGTCCTTCTGACAAGGTAGAGGGTCTAATTGAGCTGCTTAACACAAGTTGTCTATAGATGGCAAAATGAAACTAAAAGAGCACCCTGTAACACATGCCCAGTGGGGCTTCAGGATCTGTAAACATTCACCCCAGATGCTGCCTTGGTGTCAGAGACCCACAGCCTGCCTGTGTGCTCCCCTAGAGGGCTGAGCAGTGGGGCACAAAAGAAGCAAGACACTGGCTGGGCGCGGTGGCTCAAGCCTGTAATCCCAGCACTTCGGGAGGCCTAGGCGGGTGGATCACAAGGTCAACAGATCGAGACCATCCTGGTCAACATGGTGAAACCCCGTCTCTACTCAAAATACAAAAAATTAGCTGGGCATGGTGGCGCGTGCCTGTAATCCCAGCTACTCAGGAGGCTGAGGCAGGAGAATTTCCTGAACCCAGGAGGTGGAGGTTGCGGTGAGCTGAGATCACGCCATTGCACTCCAGCCTGGGTGACAAGAGTGAAACTCCGTCTCAAAAAAAAAAAAAGAAGCAAGACACACCCCCCATTGCATGCCTGCTGAGGGGAAGGAGGGAATTTTCCCCATTTCATTATCATAAGCCTACACACAGGGTTTAAAATGATGACTATGGTGGCACCTGGAGAATTTGATTCTGGCCCAGGGAGCCAAGGGGTGGCTGGATATGAAGTGTCTGAAGTTAGAGTTTAGTTGACTTTTGATTGGAGCCGCGGCATTCGCAGCCTTTGGAGTCACACAGGGGTGAGTTTAAATCTAACTCTCCTACTTACGTACTTACTGGGAGGGCCTTGGACAAGTTCCTTGCCATCTCTCAGCCCTAGTCTCCTCATGTAAAAAACTGAAGCCAGCAGCCTTGAACCCCCCAGTTGGCAGTGATCAGCAAAGGCACCTGGCGCAGAGCTCAGCAGGTGTCAGCGGAGGGACTTCTCTTCCCTTCCTTGTTTTTCTTTCCGATCCTTAATTCCTCACCTTGCTCCATCTCCTCCCCAGGCTACGGTACCTTTCACGTTGACGTTCATGATGGACTGTCTGTGAACGGCGCCAAAGACATCGATGACAGAGGCCGTGTGGATGACGACCGTGACGTCCTGGCAGGCTGTCTTCAGGCATGGCTCATCCAGAATGTCTCCTTCCAGCATCGTCAGCTTGGTCTTCTTCTGGAGCTCTGTGTGAACACAGGTCAGGTCAATGGAAGGGTTTCTGGATCTGGCTGGGAAGTTCTCTGGTAAAGGTGATGTTACATAGGTGTTCAAGGATGGTTAGAGTCAGGGTGTTGGAGTGGAGGGTGTGCATTCCATGGAAGGAACAAGTAAACAAAGGCACAGAAGTCAGCATGTGTAGCAATTTATTGGGAAAGAGCAAACATCTGTTTCTGCCACGTCTCATTTCAGAAAAGTAATCTGAGCAACGAGCTGTCGGGTGTGCCTGGAATATAAGCATTGCTAGAGTCCAGAGAGACTCAGCAAGATTTTTAAGGAGGGTCAAGTGGTTGTGGAGGCTTAGACATAAGAGGGAAAAGTTTGAAATTAGTTTTGTAGGTAATAAAGGATCATGATTTTGGGCGTACAGCACCATGTCACAGAAAACCCCTATTTTTTGGAATAAGTAGAGAAACAGGCGGGGTGTGGTGCCTCACACCTGTAATTCCAGCACTTTGGGAGGCTTAGGTGGGCAGATTGCTTGCTTCCAGGAAGTCAAGACAAGCCTGGACAACCTGGTATAACCCAGTCTCTACTAAAAATACAAAAATTAGTCTGGCGTAGTGGTGTGTGCCTATAGTCCCAGCTGCTTGGGAAGCTGAGGCAGGAGGATGAATGGAGCTCAGGAGGTGAGTGTGGCAATTACCTGAGGTCATGCCTCTGCGCTCCAGCCTTGGTGGCACAGCAAAACCCTGTTACAAAGAGAGAGAGAGAGAGGAGAGAGAGAGAGAGAGAGAGGGAGAGAGAGAGAGAGAGAGAGAGGGAGAGAGAGAGAGAGAGGGAGAGAGAGACAGAGAGAGGGAGAGAGAGAGAGAGAGAGGGAGAGAGAGAGAGAGAGAGAGGGAGAGAGAGAGAGAGAGAAACAGAAGCAGTTGTGAGGTAGAATATAAAATGGACTGGTATGGGTGGTGTGAGAAAGCAAGGTGATCAAGGTTAATCAGAGCATCTGTGCCAAAGTTTAGATGGGGACTGGAACCAGGCTGTAGCAGTGGATGCAGAGGAGGGAAGAGACACACCAGGTTTGAATTTCAGACCTTACTTAGAAGGTCCTGAGATCTATTGGATCTGGGCTGAGAGGAAAAGAGAACAAACTCATCCCTACAGTCTCCTGCTTGGGCAACTGGGAGGAGAGTGGAGCCATTACCAGGGAATTGTGGATGGGCTTAAATGAGGGATTTCCATGAAAAACTCTTATCTGATACCAAAAGCAGATAGCAGTGCTGACAGTTAGCCACCAAGGGGCTAATATTCCAGCTGTCTGGCGGAGGGCAGCGGTTACAGCCTGTGTCCTCAGACTGCCCTGCAATCCACAGGAAGTCATGCTGCCAGGAAAGCTGTCACCTGCAATTAGCACACACAATGAACGCTGTGCTACGTGGAGCTTGGATGAATACTCTACACTTGTTTGTGCGTTATAGTCTGCACACGACTCACAGCCTGCTTATTTCTTTTTACAGCTGTCTCATGAGATAGGTTTTCTGGGATCAGAGAGATTAAGGGACAGATCTGAGGTCATGTTTCTAGTGAAGGCTCGAACCTGCCCAGTCCACCTCCGAGCCCGTATACCTGTACACCAGGTGCAGGGCTGGCTGTCTATCATTAGCTTCTCTGAGTAAGAGTAGGAATAAGCCAGCTCAACCAAAATTGGCAACCAAGGCCAATTTCATTATCTGAAGTGAGAGTGATTTCATTATCTGAACAGTGAGAGTAAAACTCAGAGTGAAAAATTCAAGGCTGGAGAAATTCCTTCCTGGGGTACAGGCGGGGCCATTTGCTCTCCCGATGGCTCTGCCGTGTATTGACTATTCCCAGCACCTTCCCATTGTCAGGGAACTCCAGGAAGGCCCTGCAGTGGGGGAGGCAGGGAAGAGGCTGCTGGGGAGGAGGTGGGTGACAGCCTGAGAGTGGAATTTTCTCTGGTTGTATTTCCACCTCTGCCCTTCCTGCTCCCTTCCTCTGCTTCTCCTGTGCTGCTACTTCAGACAGACTGGCTCAAAGGAATGGCTATTTCAAAGAGGACATCTAAAGCCAAGAGAAAAGGACTCTTCCCCAATGAGTCCACAGAAATCTAGAGAGTCCAGGAAAAGGGACATTGTGGATGGAGACATAGTTCCCTCCTTCCTCAAGCGGCTGGACAAACGGCTGTTTAAGAGCACAGATGCTACATTAGACTGCATGGGTTCAAATCCAGCTTTGCCTTGTTCTAACTCTGGGACTTTTGACGAGTTAATTAACCTCTCTGTGTCTGCCTCCTCATTTGTAAGAAAGGAAGGTAATAATATTAACAATCTCAAAGGGCTGTTATGAGTCAGCACATACAAACCATGTAGCGCAGTACCTTGCACAGAAAGAACACTGAAAGGTTTCTCTGGTCTTATCTTCATACAGGCCCCTACCCATCTATTCTACCTCCTGCATTTTCATCATGAAAGAACTATACCTCTAGGCTGAGCATTGCTTTTTGCTGGTATTAGGTGTTAGATTGCAAATATTGATGAGACATAAGGATTACAAACATTTAACTTTGGTCTCGTGTTAATATTTCTCAAAGACACCATTAGAACTCAGGGCAGAGGAAATCAGAAGAGGTCACAGGAGAGTGAAAGACGAGCACAACGCTGCGTGTGGTCCCTGAGTCCTGCCAATGAGGGGCGTCTCTGTGGGCAGGGCATGACCCTCTGCACAGCCAGAGCCCACATAGCCACACGCAGTCCCCCCAGTCCTCTGGGTTGAGGAGAAGGACAGGGAATTGGACACACAGGGAGGCAAAGGGAGAGACTGAAGACCCACTTTGCCAAGCATCAGCTCCAGGATAAAGCGATAAAGCTTCTGGATGAAGCTCTGGTCTGAGCTCTGCTACATGTTCATCAGATGGCCTGGGCAAGTTGCTTTGTTTCTGGACCTCGACGTTCATTGTCCAGCTGGATATGACCCCTTTTCTACCTTCCTCATGGTGTTATTTGCACAAGGAGTTGCTACAGCAAATTCTGCAATTTCTTGGGGATATTGAGCAATAGAGGCAAATGGTTTTTTTTTTTTTTTTTTTTTTTTGAGACAGAGTCTTGCTTTGTTGCCAGGTGCCAGGCTGGAGTGCAATGGCGTGATCTCGGCTCACTGCAACCTCCGCCTCCCAGCTTCAAGCAATACTCTTGCCTCAGCCTCCTAAGTGGCTGGGATTACAGGCACGCGCCACCGCGCCCAGCTAATTGTTTGTGTTTTTAGTAGAGACAGGGCTTCACCATGTTGACCAGGATGGTCTTGATCTCTTGACCTCCTGATCCACCCGCCTCGGCCTCCCAAAGCGCTGGGACTACAGTCTTGAGCCACCGCGCCCAGCCAACAAATGGTTTTTAAAAAGTCGTATATGGGCTGGGCGCGGTGGCTCATGCTTATAATCCCAGCACTTTCGGAGGCTGAGGCGGGTGGCCATTGCACTCAAGCCTGGGTAACGAGCAAAACTCCGTCTCAAAAAAAAAAAAGTCGTATATGAAAAATTGAAATGAAGCCTGCCTGGCCTCATATTGCCTCTTAGTCTGTTTCTGTTCTGTGCTATGCATTTGTGCACACTCTATCTCACACTGACTCTCTCTCTCCCTCTTTCTCATGCATTTTTTGTCTTTCTGATTCTCTCTCTTTGATTTTCTCTCCCCCTCGTTTTCTCTCTCTCTCACACACACACATACGCACACACACCCACACACACTTAAACACTCATCTTTACATTCACTTCCTTTCATTTTGCCTTCACTAAAGATGCCGAGGGTGCTATAAAACCAAACAGAGCTCGGGGCAGTCTAGAGAGGCAGGGACGCACCGGTGAAGTCTTTGGGTAAATTGTGTCCTTTGTTAATGTTGCAAAGCAATTGCCAAGACGAAGTGCTCCAGAAAAAAAAAAAGTCATAGACAAGAAAGAGAAGTGATGTGGGATTTTCTGGATGAGAAGAAGAGGCGGCTGGAGTCTAAAGTGACTGCCTCTCAAGTTCTGGGTCAGGGCTGGAGTCCAGTCTCCAGACACCCTGTCCAATATCATTTACTCTATGCCATTTCATATTATTTAATTTTCCTTTTCTTTCTTTCTTTTTTTTTTTGATGACCATGGGTGTGAGATTGGCTTAGATTTGACTATAATTTTCTGTAACTTGCTAGAAAAGGTCCACGTTTCTGCACCCAGGCAGGGTTTAAAATGAATCAAGTTTACTTACCAGAAAATTCCTCCCTGAGTTCTGGTCTGAAGGCCTTGTCTAAGGCCCTGATCTCCTTCAGCTCTTTCTCCTTCAGCAACAGGCAGATGATCCTCCGACCCAGAAACCCTCCTGCTCCTGTCACAAGGCAGCTCCAGCCCGTCATGGCCAATCCAAGGTAGCAGGAAACAGAAGATGCTGGGGAGCAGATCTGATTCTAGGGTGACCCAGGAGAGGGCTAAAAAAAGAGATCAAATGGTTATATACTCACACAGATGCCTTATTTTCCTCCACCCCATTTTTTCGCAAAAATTTGACGTCTCCACCATTACCAGGAGCAGCTGAAAGACAATGAAGAACTTCTGACAGACAGTTGGAACCGTTAGATGGTTAAAAGCTGGACAGAAGAGTTGGGGCGCTGGTCACTTCATCCTCTGTGGCAGCCTTGGAGGTTTATGCTCTGTGGCTTCTGGCTGGCCCTTTATCACTTTGAACCCCTGCCATGGACTCATTGATCCTGCCTACTACGGGATCCCTTTTCTCAGAAGAACAGTGACCTTTAGTTCATAACCCTAATTATTCCCGGGAACAGGAAGGGAAGTCCAATCCTAAGGCTGCAGTGTGGAAAAGAGTCTTAGGTTTAGCCTTAACGTGACACTGGTAAGTTGATACCAGCTGTCTGCAATCTGCAATCTGTGATCTTAAACTAGACTGGGAGAAATCGCCAAGTGCAATGCAGACTTTGCCTTTGTGCGGTAACTATGTTTGGAGGGAAATCCGTGTTAGCCTGTTATCTCCTCTCTCAGAGTGTCATTTGAAATGTGGCTGCTGTCTTGCAAAGTTTAGGAATTTGCAATGGTGGCAGCTTCAATCACTAAGTTTTATGGAGGTGACTTTTCTTTCCTGCTCAGAATACCCACAACCTCAATTGCCATGTTCCCCTGGAGAGCTCTGGGTTCCTAACTGAGGAACATCACCGAAGGAAGGCTATCTAGTGACAGCCACTTAATGATATGGCCTGTACCACAAGAACGGCTATTTGTGGTTGTATTCCCCAGTGACTCTTATCGTAGGTGTTTGAACTCTTCCCATATGTTTGGCTGCAAAGCCATTCTCAGCAAATTTCTGAACTGGAGATGCTGTGAATGCTTCTTGAGCCTAGGCCTGATAACTGGCCACATTTTACCACCATAAGCTGTGCAAGACACTTGCCTCTACTTAATAAAATTGAGATATAATTTATACTCATTGAAACACCCAGATCTCAAGTGCTCAGTTCAGTGAACCCTGACAGTTATGTATGCCCATGTAAGTACCACCCGAAAAATCTATAGGTCATTTCCTTCCTTGCAGAAATTTCTTTTCTGCCTGTTGTTAATTTCCTGCCCTGACTCCAATCTACCTGGTAGGAAACTACTTTCTGATTTTTATTCCCACGGAATATTCGTTTTATTCCTAAATGTTTCTAATTTTTTCTTCCAAGATCTCTGTGGTTCTGGCTATACATTTAAATGTAAAATCATTTTGAGCTGAAGTTTTGTGCATGGAGTACAGAAGAATTGACTGTCTCTATGGTTCGTTCATTTTTCTACTTCACGATTCCTTTATTTTTATTGGCTTATAGTTATTGTCTTTGAGCTTCTTTTTTAGTCTCCTTTTTCAGGGTTCTTATTATAAAAGCACATATGATTGCCTTTCGTCCTTTGCTCATTTCCTCTGCGGGCATTTACAGTTGTAATTTCTCTCTAAGCACTATGGTGGCTGTACCCAGCATTTTGATGTGTTGGGTCATCATCATTCAGTTACCAATGTTTTGAATTTTTTATTGTCAGCTCATCTTTGACCCACGTGACCCATACCAACAGGGTGTATTGCTTGTTTTCTAAAATTGGGGGTTTTCTAGATGTCTTATTGTTATGGATTTCCAATTAAATACTATTATGCCCAGAGCATATGCCATGTATGATTTTGATTTTGGATATATATTGAGACTTGTTATATGGTGCAGCGTATGGTCTAAGTTGGTGAAAATGCCGTAAACACTCGAAAACAATGCTTTCTGCAGTTGTTGGAAGTAATACTCTACAGATGATTTGCTTTGAAACCCCACTCTGGATCTTGCCCTCCGTCCGTGTTGCAGACATTCAACTACTGCTTGGGACCTGACTAGCAACACTTCAAACCCACTTGCCTAGAAGAGGTTGGCCCTGTGCTTCAAGATGTAGCAGCTTGTTCTCTGAAGCTCTCAGAACTAGCTACAAGTTCTGGGTCTTGCTGAGACCACTCAGGTGCATCACATGCCTTTGCCTGCTGTAGCAGATGCTGGAGTGCACCTTACAGACCCCCCATCACCTTCAGGATGGGGCAGGACATTCCCTCAGCTGTTGAGAGTTCTGGAGCCTGGCAGATTTCAGCCAATGTCTCCTGGAGTCTCTGAGTAGAACCAATAAATATAAGCCCTAAAGAAAGTGAGAAATTAAACAAAGGGCAAGACTGATGGGGGCCACACTACTAAATTTCTTTTGTTTTTAAGCAGCTTTACTAAGGTATAATTGACATATCATAACATTCCTGTGTTTTAAGTGTACAGTTCAATTATTTTCCATAAAATTTTAGACTTGTGTGGCCATCACCATGATCCTGCTTTGCACCATTTCTACCATTCCTGAGAAATCCCTCCTGCTCATCAGTCACCACCCCTTTTCGCTAGTCCCCAGCTCCAGGCAGCGCCCAATTGACGTACCGACTCTACAGATTTTCCTTTTCTGGGCACTGTATAAATAGAATCATGCAATACGTGGTCTTTTGTATCTGTTTTCTTTCACTTAGCTTAACGTACTTTCACGGTTCATGTATGTGGCAGCACGTATCAATATTTCATTCCTTTTAGGTGCCAAATCCTATTAAATTGTATGGATAACTTTCATTGCTTTATTAGTTCATCAGTGGATAGATATTTGATGTGTTTCTGCTTCATGAATTGTTACAGATAAAGCTGCTATGAATATTCACCTTCATGTTTTGTGTGGAAATAGTTTTTTTTTTCTTTTGGGCTGTTAGCTAGGAGTGAAAGTCCTAGATCATATGATAAATGTATCTTCAGCATTGTAAGAAACTGCCTCACTGGTTTCCAACATGGCTGCATGTCCTATCAGCAATGCATATTTCAATTTGTCACATCATTGTTTTTTTCACTTCCTCCAGGTGTTACTGTCCTTTTTTATTACAGCATTCTAGTGGGGAAGAAGTGGTGTCACACTGTAGTTTTGATTTACATTTCCCTGCCGACCGATGAGGCTGACCATCTTTCCATGTGTTTTGTTGGCCATTCCTACACCTTTTTGATGAAATGGTTATTCAAATATATTACCCATTATAAAATTGGGTTATTTACATTTTTGATGTTAGTTGTCAGTGTATTTTATATTCTGGAAACAAGTCCTTTATCAGATATATGATTTGAATTTTTTTCTCAGTCTATGGATTACCTTTTCATTTTCTTATTGATGACTTTTAAATGCCAACGTTTTTAGTTTTGATCATGTTTCATTTTTCAACTGGTTTTTAACCAGGAAAAGTTGTTTTCTTTTTGCCTTTTGAGTATGTTAATCTATATTTTCTTCTAAGAGGTAAACAGTTTTGCCCTTAAAGTTAGGCCCGTGATTTATTTTGAAGGAATTTTTGCCTTTGTGTGTGTTAATGGCCTAAATTCATATGGCCAATTAATTTTTACAATAGAAAAATCCATATGGAAAAAAGATAGTCTTTTAAACGAGTGATACTGAGACAAGTGAATTGTCCACATGCTCAGGGAATATCAGCATGCTATGTCAAGTGTTGCCCATCTGAGTTACCACCTTTTGACATCAGAGTGTGTGAAGAATTTCTAAATACAATCATATGGTTAAATAATATGCTGCAGCCTTCTGCTTCTCCCCTTCGACCAACAGCCGCCTCTTGTTGTGCGGCACCAGTCACGTCCCCGAGACACCATGGTGAAGGTGGAAGCCAGAGGCAACGGATTCAGCCCTGTTGGGTGACTGGTAACCAGGGCTACTTAAAACTCTGGTAAAGTGGATATTGTCACCATTCATGACCCCTTCATCGACCTCAAATCCATGGTCTACATGTTCCAGTATGATTCCACCCATGACGAATTCCATGGTACCATCAAGGCTGAGAATGGGAAGCTTGTCATCAGTGGAAATACCACCACCATCTTCCAAAAGCTAGAGCCCACCAGAATCAAATAGGGCGATGCTGGTACCAAGAACATCATAGAGTCCACTGGCGTCTTTACTACCATGAAGGCTGCGGCTCGCTTGCAGCGGGGAGCTAAAAAGGTCATCACCTCTAACCCTTCTGCTGACACCCTCATGTTTGTGATGGGTGTGAACCATGAGAAATATGACAACAGCCTTAAGATCATCAGCAGTGCTTCCTGTACCACCAACTGCTTAGCACCTCTGGCCAGGATTATCCATGACAACTTTGGTGTAGTGAAAGGACTCATGACCACAGTCACTGCTATTACTGCCGCACAAAAGGCTGTGGATGTCCACTCTGTGAAACTGCGGCATGACAGCTGCAGGGCTCAAAGGAACATTATCTTTGCATCTACTGGCACTGTCAAGGCTGTGGCAAGTGTATCAATGAGCTGAGCAGGAGGCTCAGTGGCAGGGCATTCTGTTACCCCCCCACCACCACGTTGGTCATGGACTTGACCTGCCAAATAGGATAACATCAAGAAGGTGGTGAAGCAGGCATCAGAGGGTCCCCATACGGGCATCCTGTGCTGCACTGAGAACCAGACTGTCTCTTCCAGCTTAACCATTGACACCCACTCTTCCACCTTCGATCCCGGGATGGGCATTGCCCTCAGTGACCGCTTTCTCAATCTCATTTTCTGATATGACAATGAATTTGGCTATAGAAACAGGGCGGTGAACCTCATGACCCACATGATCTCCAAGGAGTAAGACCTCCGAACCACCAGCCCTAGCAGAGCATCAGAGAAGAGAGGGCCTCAGCTGCTCAGGAGTCCCTGCCACACTCAGTCCCCCACCACACTGAGAATCTCCCCTCCTCACAGTTTCCATGCAGAATCCTGAAGAGGGAGGGGCCTAAAAAAACCCCACCTTGTCATGTATCACCAAAATGTCCCCTGAATGTGCTCAGAAAAAAAAATGCTGTATTAGGAAAACTCACAAAGATTACTGATCAACAAAAGAATAGAGGGCATGATTTAGACGGCATGATTTCCCCATCCTCCTATTTTATACTGATGCATAAATGATCAGGAAGTGCTGGGCTCACAATGGGAGTCTTTGCTCCAGTGTAGGAACATTAGTCTCCCTTATTATAATTTTTTATCATGTAAACACATGGACACAGCTTTATCAGTGGAGGAAAACATGGGTTATTGGTGTGAAACAATCTAGATTTAGGTGCCAGCTGTTCACAAGATTGTCTGGGAAGATCAACTGCCCAGCACCTGGAGTCCTTGGGACTCAGGCAAAGGGTTTCCTTTTTCTTAGGGGAGAAAGCCACCCATTCTACAGAGAGCTTTACCAGGCACAGTTATTTATGCTGGGAAAAGGAAAATTCCTCTTCTTGGCCAGCTTACTAAACTTCTGGGTTACTTTAGGATAATTACACCCCTTGTGCTTGAGTCCTAGAGAGGTCTGGTTGGACACGAGTAGCATAGAATAATCTTTAAAGGCACAGGACTAGATGAAATAAGCTTAGGTAAAAATATTCATGGATAATAGGGAAAGTTTCTGGACTGAATCCTGAAGTAAACATATCAATATTTAGAAGTGGAACAGCGGGCTGGGCACAGTGGCTCATGCCTGTAATTCCAGCACTTTGGTAGGCCGAGGTGGGTGGATCACCTGAGGTCAGGAGTTCGCGACCAGCCTGGCCAACATGGTGAAATCCTGTCTCTTGTAAAAGTACAAAAATTAGCTGGGTGTGGTGGTGGGCACCTGTATTTCCAGCTACTTAGAAGGCTGAGGCAAGAGAATCGCTTGAGCCTGGGAGGCGGAGTTTGCAGTGAGCTGAGATTGCGTCACTGCACTTCAGCCTGGGTAAAAAGGAGTGAAACTCCAACACGGAAAAAACAAACAAAAAAACAAAACTGTTGAACAGAAGAGGAGCCAGTTAAATATATTGAGTAGGAGTCGGTGGCGGGCAGAAGGAAAATTAGGAGGAGATGGCCTTGTGAAAGTCAAGTGAAGGAAGTATTTCAAGAGGAGTGTGGTCCGCTATGTTGGATGCTGCTGACACACGAAATGCAACAGGAAGATAAAACAATTGATTATTGGTTTTGGCAATGTTGTAAATCATTTGGTAAGAGCAACTGCCACAAACAGTTGGGTTGAAAGTTCAACTGGAAAGTCCAACATACAGTTCATCTGTGTTGTGGAATAGAAGAAAAATGTGAAGAGAGTGATTAATAAAAACAACACCTGTTCAAGAAGTTGTGCCAGGAAGATCTCAGTAAAAAGGTGTTACAGCCAGAGGAGTCCCGAGTTTCTTTTTGTTGTGTTGTCTTAAAGTGGGCTACTCCTTTACTGATCTTTAGCACCTTGTACAGAGCACCTTGTAGGTGCTCAAACATTGTTAAGTGTTTGACTAAATAAAGTGTCTATGTGTTCTACATCTTTTTTTTTTTTTGAGACGGAGTTTCACGCTTGTTACCCAGGCTGGAGTGCAATGGCGTGATCTCGGCTCACCGCAACCTTTGCCTCCTGGGTTCAGGCAATTCTCCTGCTTCAGCCTCCTGAGTAGCTGGGATTACAGGCACGCGCCACCATGCCCAGCTAATTTTTTGTATTTTGAGTAGAGACGGGGTTTCACCATGTTGACCAGGATGGTCTCGATCTCTTGACCTTGTGATCCACCTGCCTTGGCCTCCCAAAGTGCTGGGATTACAGGCGTGAGCCACCGCACCTGGCCCTACATCTTTTTATTACTATAAGAATTTGCACAACATGTGACACATCATAGGAACTTAATACGTGTTTACTGAATGAATGAATGGAAGGATGAGTGAGCAATCAAGGACTCTAGAATGTCTTAGTGCTTTTGAGACATAGTGCTTATGGACTAATACACAGAAGGTAACAGAAGGGAACAGTGACCACAAAAATGAAACTACTGGAAAGTCTCTTATACTAATGAGAGGCTGGGATCATGCCCAGGCCAAAGTGTTTGCCAAGGAGAAGCAATTTTCTTCTTATCTAAAGCATGGATATGCATCTGAGCCCAGGTATTTGAAAGGTACTTGAAGAGCCAGTTTTCAGAAGTAAGGAACAATGGAGCTTCCCTCCACCATACAGGGAGAAGTAGAGCCAGAGCTTTTGGTTTATGTGAGCTCAACTTGGCTGTCTTCCCAAGCCAAACCTTCAAAGTGAGAGAGGAGAAGGCTTTAGCAAAATCTGATTTTCATCTCCTACTGAATTCTCTCCTTGTCAATTATTTCTTGGGGGAGGTCACATAGATGTCACTCAATTATTTCCTCCCGAGTCTGACAGTGATATGGTAGCCAGCCTCTAAGGTGACTCCATTCATCTCTACTTCCTGGTATTCATTCCCTTGTGTGTGGGCTGAACATAGCAACTTGCTTTTAATCCGTATAGTAAGACAAAAATGAATGTTACTTCCATGATTAGTTTAGAAAAGGTAGGGACTTTCATCTGGTTTTACACTTCCTCTTTCTCGCTGGGCTGGATGAAGCAAGCTGCCGTGCTGGAGAGGACAATTTAGCAATGATCTGAGGGCAGCCAACAGACAAAGGGGAACCGAGGCTCTCAGTCCAATAAGCTTCGAGGAAGTGAATTTTCCAACAACTATGTAAGTGAGCTTGAAAGTAGGTATTTCCCCAGTTGAGTCTTCAGATGAAATCGGAACTTTGTTCCAATCAAGAGCGCTTGGAACTCCAACGTTTAAGGAAAGAAAAGGTAGGTGGTTGGCAAAGCCTGAGTCCTGTCCTCTCGCTCTCCTCCCCAGGCAGCATGAGCTTCACCACTCGCTCCACCTTCTCCACCAACTGCTGGTCTGTGGGCTCCGTGCAGGTGCCCAGCTACGATGCCCGGCCCATCAGCAGCATGGCCAGCATCTATGCAGGCACTGGGGGCTCTGGTTCCCGCATCTCCCACATCTCCATGACATGCTCCGCCAGCTTCCAGAGCGGCAAGCGGGTCGGGGGCCCTGCCATGGGGATGGCCAGGGGTCTGGCAGGAACGGGAGGCATCCAGAACGAGAAGGAGACCATGCCAAGCCTGAACGACTGCCTGGCCTCCTACCTGGACACAGTCAGGAGCCTGGAGACCGAGAACCGGAAGTCGGAGAGCAAAACCCGGGGGCACCTGGAGAAGGGACCCCAGGTCAGAGACTGGGGCCATTACTTCAAGACCATCGAGGACCTGAGGGCTCAGATCTTAGCAAATACTGTGGACAATGCCTGCATCGTTCTGCAGATTGACAGTGCTCGTCTTGCTGCTGAAGACTTTAGAGTCAGTATGAGACAGAGCTGGCCATGCGCCAGTCTGTGGAGAGCGACATCCATGGGCTCTGCAAGGTCATCGACGACACCAATGTCACTCGGCTGCAGCTGGAGACAGAAATCGAGGCTCTTAAGGAGGAGCTGCTCTTCATGAAGAAGAACCACGAAGAGGAAGTAAATGGCCTACAAGCCCAGATTGCCAGCTCTGGGTTGACCGTGGAGGTAGATGCCCTCAAATCTCAGGACCTCACTAAGATCATGGCAGAAATCCGGGCTCAATGACCAGCTGGCTCGGAAGAACCGAGAGGAGCTGGGTGAGTACTGGACTCAGCTGATTGAGGAGAGCACCATAGTACTCACCACACAGTCCACCGAGGTTGAAGCTGCTGAGATGACGCTCACAGAGCTGAGACGTAAGGTCCAGTCCTTGGAGATCGAGCTGAACTCCATGAGAAATACGAAGATCAGCTTGGAGAACAGCCTGAGGGAGGTGGAGGCCCGCTACGCCCTGCAGATGGAGCAGCTCAACGGGATCCTGCTGCACCTGCAGTCAGAGCTGGCACAGACCCGGGCAGAGGGACAGCGCCAGGCCCAGGAGTACGAGGCTCTGTTGAACATCAAGGTCAAGCTGGAGGCCGAGATCGCCACCTACCGCCACCTGCTGGAAGATGGCGAGGACTGCAGTCTTAGCGATGCCCTGGACAGCAGCGACTGCATGCAAACCATTCAAAAGACGACCACCCGCCGGAGAGTCGATGGCAAAGTGGTGTCTGAGACCAATGACACCACAGTTCTGAGACATTAGGCCAGCAGAAGCAGGGGACCCTTCGGGGAGCAGGAGGCCAATAAAAAGTTGAGAGGTCAAAAAGAAAAGAAAAGGTAGACTGACATACTTTTAACAAACTGCTTTCTTTTCTTGGGGATTTCTCTTGCATTACGAAGAACATTAGCTGTTTATCAGACTCAGTTTGAAAACTACGAGTGATTTAATAAATATTAATATTAGATTCTCTGAAGTTATTAAGTGTGGGTGAAGATGTGGGGAGAGACAGGCATGTTATTTGTGGAAGTGTAAGTTGACACAAATATCTGGTGAGTATCTGACAAAATATTTTAAACTTTCACACACTTGACCCAGCAAGTCCACTCCAGAAATTTATTATAAAGATTAATCAGTTAAGATCAGACCAAGAGGTCACATGGGACATATCCTTGCACATGGAAAGCTCTACATATGAGCTCTAACATATTAATTGAGCTCTTTACTGGGTGTCAGGTGCTTTATATATATTATCTCATTTAAGTTTTAAAATAGACTTTATTTTCTATAATAGCTTTAGCTTCACTACAACATTGAGGGAGAGTGCAGAGAGTTCTCATATACCCCACCCCACACATACACAGCCTCCCCCGCTACCAAAATTTTGCACCAGAATGGTACATTCACTACAATGAGTTGACTTGCATTGACACTTTATCACTCAAAGTCCAAAGTTTTCTCTTGATGTGGTACATTCGTTGAGTTTTGACAAATGTTCAATGACATGTCACCACCATTGTATGATCTGCCCTAAACATCCTCTATGCTCTGCCTGTTCATCCCTCTGTGCAGCCTGACTCTGACAGCCATGACCTTTTTACTGTCTCCAAGGTTTTGCCTTTTCTAGAATGTCATATAGTTGGAATCACATTGCATATAGCCTGCTGATATTGGCTTCTTGCATTTAGTAACATACGTTGAAGTTTCCTTCATGTCTTTTTATGGCTTGATAGTTTTTTCTTCTTTAGCACTAAATAGTATATTATTATCTGGTTGCACCACAGTTTATTTATTCATTCACTTCCTGAAAGACAATGTGGCTGCTTCCAAGTTTTTATAATAATGAATAAAACTGCTATGAAGACCTAACCGGCTGGGCATGGTGGCTTACACCTGCAATCCCAGCACTTTGGGAGGCCAAGGCAGGTGGATCACCTGAGATCGGGAGTTCGAGACCAGCCTGATCAACATGGAGAAACCATGTCTCTACTAAAAATACAAAATTAGCCTGAAGTGGTTGCACATCCCAGCTATTTGAGAGGCTGAGGCAGGAGAATGGCTTGAACCTGGGAGTGGAGGTTGCAGTGAGCCAAGATCACATCATTGCACTCCAGCCTGGGCAATAAGAGTGAAACTCCACCTCAAATAAAAATAAAAATCTAATTTAAAAGTAGGTTTTGGACCGACCCTTGACTTCGGAGAGGTAGCGCGGTACCTTTGGGTGCTTCTGCCTCCCCTTCTCTGGCTTCTTCTGCCTCCTCGGCCTCCTCCCTCCACGGGAACCCAAGACCCTAGTGTATGCCGCACCCCTGACCTGGTTCGCGATATGTCCACCCTGGCTCACCGGTGCCTCATGCGGGACTTCAAGAGGTTGCAGGAGGATCCTCCAGCCACAGTCAGTGGGGCTCCGTCCGAGAACAACATAATGGTGTGGAACGCGGTCATTTTCGGGCCTGAAGGGACCCCATTTGAGGATGGAACATTTAAACTTACAATAGAATTCACTGAAGAATATCCAAATAAGCCACCTACAGTTAGATTTGTCTCTAAGATGTTCCATCCAAATGTCTATGCAGATGGTAGTATATGTCTGGATATACTTCAGAACCGTTGGAGTCCAACCTATGATGTGTCTTCGATTTTAACATCCATGCAGTCTCTATTGGATGAACCCAATCCCAATAGTCCAGCAAACAGCCAGGCTGCTCAGCTGTACCAGGAGAACAAGCGGGAATATGAAAAGCATGTTACTGCAATAGTAGAACAAAGCTAGCGCGATTGTTGACCCTGGGTACAGTTAAAGAAGAAACCGGCCATAAGAAAAATACATATTGATGTGTTTGTCACCTCCCTACTCTTGTCATTACATTTACTTTATTAAAAGCAAAATAGCTAAAAAAAAAATAAATAAATAGAAGTAGGGTTTGGTGTGGAAATGTTTCCAATTTATTTGTGCAAATGCAATGAAGCATGATTGATGGATCATATGTTAAGAATATGTTTAGCTTTATAAGAAACTGCCAAAATGCCTTATGAAGTGTCTTTACCATTTCACATCCTGACCAGCAATGGATGAGCACTCCTGATGCCCCATATTCTTGCCAGCATTTGGTGTTGTCAGTGTTGTGGATTTTGGCCATTCTAATGGATATGCGGTAGCATTTCATGTTCATTTTAGTCAGTAATTCTCTAATGACATATGATGTTGATTATCTTTTTACAGGCTTTTTTTGCATTCTATACATCTTCTTTGGCAAGATGTCTGTTCACGTCTGTTGCCTATCTTTGTATCAGATTGCATTACAAATATAAGACTTTTTAGGAGTTAAGAGATTCCTTCTGAGATTTTATATGCACCTTTGGTTTACTGTGGGCACTCATTTTTCCCTGTTTCTGAGCAATGGAGAAAAGTATTTTGGCATTATCTTAATACTCTTGCCATTTCCCTTGGAATTTTGGATCTAGACCTCTGAGTCCAGACACAACTTAAAAAATTACACATGTGTATCTGGGAGCACAGTATCACCAGGTAGATGTATTCAAAGATAGCTTCCACTACATTCTCTTATAAAGTAAGCTAACACCATTGTCTGTATACCACATTGCTTTAATACCAAATGCTCATGTGATTTGTTTCACTCTTACCCCAAACCAATCTCTGTTGACCCCCACAAGTCATCAGCTGGTGATTTCAGGGTTGAAAAGATGAAGATGACCTTAAGGAGCCATTATGCCTGCTTTAAAGTCCCTGTAATAAAAAAAACTTTGGGAAATTTTGCAACACGATTACTAGCCAGCATAAAAGCATGAAAAAAAATGACGTAAGACTGTGATTGGGTGTTTAGAGAGGTGGATGTTATCCTACTTACGTTTTCTCTGATTTCAAGTCTTATCTTCAAGGCTTTACTTGTTACTTAACCACAAAGAACATTTAGTACTGAGATGTTCTTACCTTTTTCTGATGTGAGGAAAATCATGAGACCAGTTATGAATTTAACACAAATGGAAAGAGAGTGAGAAAAGTGGTATGTGACAAATAGTTCTATGAGCTAGAAGTGCATTTCCAAAGTGGACTTGTAAAGCTCTAGAAAGGGCACCAAGTCCCACTGTCTGTGAGGCTGATTCCTGATGGAGGACAAGAGTAAGAGGGTTGGAGAACAGGCCAGAGGAAAGCAAAGTCTGCCTAGGTCTGGTCATATCTGTGGGACGTGGCTGGTGGCATAGTTCTCTCATGAGTCTGCCACTGTCAGACGTCATTCTTGGGGACCCCTGAGTAAAAGGAGATTTCTTAGACTTAAATCTTTGCCATTCACTTAGCTCTGTAGTACTTGATTGAGTAAGCCTTTATCTATCTACTAAAACTACCCAATATGACCAAAATAAAGATATTTCCTTTCTTATTTACTGTTGAAATACTCAACTAGTCAATATTAATTTGTTTCTATGGTTTTGGATCTATTATCTGAAAATTCTTTTTCTGCTACTTTTCTTGGAAGTCAGTGCATTGTACAGAATAAATATTAGTCAATGGGTCACAATATCCTGTAACATCCTAGGTCTTCACAGCGAATATTTTAGGCTTTCCTTCACTCTTGCATTTTTTCTTGTCTCTGGCTTGGCTCTGTGACTCAAAGTAAAAAATATTCCCAAAGTCTCTTGCAGCAGTGCATGAGTTAGGCTACACCAAGATTACCCTTGTCCCATATTCTTTCTTGATCTTGTGAAATTGAATGTTCTGAATGTATCTCCTCTAGATTTGTATATTGAATTTTAATTGCCAATGTGATAGTATTTACAGCTGGGTCCTTTAGGAAGTGACTAATATATGACAGGGCCCTCATAAATGGGATTGTGACCTTATGAAAGGACTTGAAAGAACTAGGTGACTCCTTCCATTCTTCTACCATGTGAGGACACAGTGTCCATCTCTTGCAGAGGATGCAGCAACAAGATGCTGTATTGGAAGGAGACGTTGGGCTCTTACCATATATGGAACAGAACAGCATCTTCATCATGGACTTCCTGGCCTCTAGAACATTAGAAATAAGTTTCTACTGTTTGTAACTTATCCGATCTCATATCTTTTGTTATACCAACACAAACAGACTAAATCATAAAGCTTCCACTTTTTACAAGTCACATGTTGCCACGCAAATCAGGGTGTGGGAAGTCATCTTCAAGGCCCACAATCATCCAGGCCTCCTGTCCCATGATGCCACTGTTACTGCTGTGTCGCACGGACAGTCAGCCCCAGACGTGTGCGTTCTTAGAACGTCCTTGAACTTTCAGCACAAACACGCCATCTTTGTTGCAGATTAAAGACCCATCCTTGGCCTCAAATTATCACTCCACCAAAGCAGGAGCCAATTTGAGACCTGCATAAAAAAATAAAGGCAAAGGCCAGGCATGGTGACTCAAGCCTATATTCCCAGCACTTTGGGAGGCCAAGGTGGGTAGATCACCTGAGGTCAGGAGTTTGAGACCAGCCTGGCCAACATGGTGAAGCCCTGTCTCTAAATAAATAAATAATGAAGGCCTAACACTGGGATCATTGTCAATTTCCCCCTTGTTTAATCAACCCGTTAACAATGACATCTAATTTAGACTTCTGAGTTTCTTTTAAGTTATCACAATTCTCCAAAGTTTTTACTACTATTCCAAGTATTCTAATGACACCTGCTTTTTTCCCCTTCCTCTGATTTCTCTCTGCTGCACTGTTTAATAGACAGAGATCATGGGGATCTGAGCAGGTGGTTGAATAACAGCTCTGATCTGCAACTCACAGCGAGACCAGTACAGAAGGCAGGTGATTTCTGCATTTCCAGCTGAGGTACCTGGTTTATCTCACTGGGACTGGTTAGAGAGTGGGTGCAGCCCATGGAGAGTGAGCAGAAGCAGGGTGGGGCATTGCCTCACCTGGAAAGTGCAAAGGGTCAGGAAGCTCCCTCCCCTAGCCAAGGGAAGCCACAATGGGACTGTGCTATCTGGCCCAGATATCACACTTTTACCCCGGTTTTTGCAACCTGCAGACCAGGAGATTCCCCTGTGTGTCTACACTACCAGGACCCTGTGTTCAAGCACAAATCTGGGCAGCTGATTGGGCAGACACCGAGCTAGCTGTAGGAGTTTTCTTCATACCCCAGTGGCACCTGGAACACCAGTGAGGCGGAACTATTTACTCCCCTGGGAAGGGGCTGAAGCCAAGGAGCCAGGTGGTCTTGCTCACTGGGTCCCACCCCCACAAAGTCCAGCAAGCTAAAATCCACTGGCTTGAAATTCTCGCTGCTGGCACAGCAGTCTGAAGTCAACCAAGGAAGCTCGAGCTTGGATGGGGGAGGGGTGAGGGGAGGGGCGGGGGGAGGGACATCTGCCATTACTAAGCCTTGAGTAGGTGGTTTTCCCCTCATCATGTAAACAAAGCTGCTGGGAAATTTGGACTTGATGGAACCCACTGGAGTGTGGCAAAGCCTCTATAGCCAGACTGCCTCTGTAGATTCCTCCTCTCTGGGCAGGGCATCTATGAAAGAAAGGCAGTAGCCTCAGTCAGGGGCTTGTAGAGAAAACTCCCATCTCCCTGGGACAGAGCACCTGGTGTAATGGTCAGCTGTGGGTGCAGCTTCAGCAGACTTAAATGTTTCTGCCTGCTGGCTCTGAAGAGAGCAGCAGATCTCCCAGCACAGAACTCGAGCTTTGCTAAGGGAAAGACTGCCTCTTTTAGTGCCTCCTTGACTCCCAGGCCTCCTGACTGGGAGATACCTCCCAGCATGATTCAACAGGCACCTCATACAGGAGGTACTCACATCTGGTTGGTGCCCCTCTGATACGAAGCTTCCAGAGGAAGGACCAAGCAGCAATCTTTGCTGTTCTGCAGCCTCTGCTGGTGATACCCAGGCAAACGGGGTCTGGAGTGGACCCCCAGCAAACTGCAGCAGACATGCAGAAGAGAGGCCTGTTAGAAGGAAAACTAACAAACAGAAAGCAATAGCATCAACATCAATGAAAAGGAAGCCCATGAAAAAACCCCATTTGAAGGTCATCAGCATCAAAGATTAAAGGTAGATAAATCCATGAAGATGAGGAAAAACCAGCACAAAAGTGCTAAGCATTTCAAAAACCAGAATGCCACTTTTCCTCCAAAGCATCACAACTCCTCACAAGCAAGGGGACAAAACTGGATGGAAAATGAGTTTGATGAATTGACAAAAGTAGGCTTCAGAAGGTGAGTAATAACAAACTCCTCTGTTCTAACCCAATGCACGAAATTTAAGAATTTTGATAAAGTGTTACAGAAACTGCTAACTAGAATAACCAGTTTGGAGAATAACATAAATGACCCGATGAAGCTGAAAAACACAGCACAATAATTTCATGACACATACAGAAGTATCAAGAGCTGAATTGATCAAGTGGATGAAAGGATATCAGAGATTAAAGATCAACTTAATAAAATAAAACATGAAGAAAAGATTAGAAAAAAAATGAAAAGGAACAAACAAAGCCTCCAAGAAATATGGGGCTATGTGAAAAGACCAAACCTACGATTGACTGGTGTACCTGAAAGTGACGTGGGACTGGAACCGAGTTGGAAAGCAAACTTCAGGATATTATCCCCAACCTAGCAAGACAGGCCAACATTCAAATTCAGGAAATACAGAGAATGCCACAAAGATACTCCTTGAGAAGAGCAACCCCAAGAAGCATAATAATCAGATTCACCAGGGTTGAAACAAAGGAAACAATGTTAAGGGCAGCCAGAGAGAAAGCTCGGGTTACCCACAAAGCTAAGCCAATCAGACTAACAACAGACCTCTCTGCAGAAACCCAACAAGCCAGAAGACAATGCGGCCAATATTCAACATTCTTAAAGAAAATAATTTTCAACCCAGAATTTCGCATCTAGCCAGACTAAGCTTCATAGGTGAAGGAGGAATGAAATCTTTTACAGACAAACAAATGCTGAGGGATTTTGTCACCACCAGGCTTGCCTTAAGAGAGCTCCTGAAGGAAGCACTAAAAAGGGGAAGGAAACACTGGCAACAGTCACTGCAAAAACATATCAAAATAAAAAGACTAATGGCACTGTGAAGAAATGGCATCAACTAATGTGCAAAATAACCAGCCAGCATCATGATGACAGGAACAAATTCACACATAGCAATATTAACCTTAAGTGCAAATGGGCAAAATGCCCAATTAAAAGACACAGATTGGCAAATTGGATAAAAAGTCAAGACTCATTGGAGTGCTGTATTCGGGAGACCTATCTCATGTGCAAAGACACTGTCAATATTAGACAAATCAATGAGACATAAAATTAACAAGGATATTCAGGACTTGAACTCAGCTCTGGACCAAGTGGACAGAACTCTCCATCCCAAATCTACAGAATATACATTCTTCTCAAAACCACATAGCACTTATTCTAAAACTGACCACATAACTGGAAGTAAAACACTCCTCAGCAAATGCAAGGGAATGGAAATCATAATGAACAGTCTCTCAGACCATAGTACAATCAAATTAGAACTCAGAATTAAGAAACTCACTCAAAACTGGATGACTACATGGAAACTGAACAACCTGCTCCTGAATGACAACTACGTATAATAACAAAATTAGGGAGAAATAAATAAGTGATTAAAACCAATGAGAACAAAGATAGAACATACCAGAATCTCTGGGACACAGCTAAAGCAGTGTTTAGAGGGAAATTTATAGCACTAAATGCACACAAGAGAAAGCAGGAAAAATCTAAAATCAACACCCTAGCATCACAATTAAAAGAACTAGGGAAGCAAGAGCAAACAAATTCAAAAGCTACCAGAAGACAAGAAATAACAAAGATCAGAGCAGAACTGAAGGACACAGAGACACAAAAAAACCCCTCAAAAAACTAATGAATCCAGGAACTGTTTTTTTTTTTTTAAGATTAACAAAATAGACCACTAACCAGACTAACAATGAAGAAAACAGAGAATAATGAAATATTCTCTGTTTCATTAGAAAATGATAGCAGGGATATCACCACTGCTCTCAGAAATATAAACTACCATCAGAGAATAGTCTAAATACCTCTAACAAATATACTAGAAAATCCAGAAGAAATGAATAAATTCCTGAACACATACATCCTCCCAAGACTAAACCAGGAAGAAGTCCAATCCTTGAATAGACCAATAACAAGTTCTGAAATTGAGGCAGTAATTAATAGCCTACCAAACACCCCCCCACACACACACAAAATAAAAGCCCAGAACCAGATGGATTCACAGCCAAATTATATTGGAGATCTAAAAAGGAGCTGGTACCATTTCTTCTGAAACTATTCCAAACAACAGAAGAAAAGAGATTCCTCTGAAACTCATTTTATGAGACCAACATCACCCTGATACCAAAACCTGGTAGAGACACAATGAAAAAGGACAATTTCAGGGCAATATCCCTGATGAACATTGATGTGAATATACTCAATAAAATATTGGCAAACCAAATCCAGCAGCACATCCAAAAGCTTATCCACCATGATCAAGTTGGCTTCATTCCTGGGATGCAATGCTGGTTCATCATACACAAATCAATACATAATCCATCACATAAACAGAACCAATGACAAAAACCACGTTTATCTCAATGGATACAGAAAAGGCCTTCAATAAAATATAACACCCTTTCATGCTGAAAACACTCAATAAACTAGGTATTTATGGAACATATCTCAAAATAATAAGAACTGTTTATGACAAACCCATAGCCAATATCATACTGAATGGCAAAAAAATGAAAGCATTCCCTTTGAAAACTGCCATAAGACAAGGAGGCCCTCTCTCACCATTCCTATTCAACGGAGTATTGGAAGTTCTGGCCAGGGCAATTAGGCAAGAAAAAGGAACAAAATGTATTTAAATAGGAAGAGAAGAAGTCAAATTGCCTCTGTTTGCAGATGACATAATTGTATATTTAGAAAACTCCATCATCTCAGCCCGAAAACTCCTTAAGCTGATAAGCAACTTTGGCAAAGTCTCGGGATACAAAATCAATGTGAAAACTCACAAGCATTTCTATATATCAATAATAGACAAACAGAGAGCCAAATAATGAGTGAAGTCCTATTCAAAATTGCTCCAAAGGGAATAAAATACCTAGGAATACAACTTACAAGAAATGTGAGGGACCTTTTCAAGGAGAGCTACAAATTACTGCTCAAGGAAATAAGAGAGGGCACAAACAAACGGAAAAGCATTCCATGCTCCTGGTTAGGGAGAATCAATATTGTGAAAAGGGCCATACTGCCCAAAGTAATTTATAGATTCAATGCTATCCCCATCAAGTTATCAATGACCTTCTTCACAGAATTATAAAAAAGTTCTTTACATGTCATATGGAACTAAAAAGGAGCCCATATAGCCAAGAAAATCCTAAGCAAAAAGAACAAAACTAAAGGTATCATGCTACCTGACTTCAATCACTCTGATGAAGTCAGGTAGCAAACTATACTACAGGGCTGCAGTAACAAAAACAGCATGGTACTGGAACCAAAACAGATATATAAACCAATGGAACAGAACAGAGGCCTCAGAAATAACACCATATATCTACAACCATCTGATATTTGACAAACCTGTCTAAAACAAGAAATGGGGAAAGGATTCCCTATTTAATAAACAGTGTTGGGAAAACTGGCTAGCCATGTGCAGAAAACTGAAACTGGGCCACTTCCTTACATCTTACACAAAAATTAACTCAAGATGGATTAAAGACTTAAATGTAAGACCTAAAATCATAAAACCCTAGAAGAAAACCTAGACAATGCCACTCAGGACACAGGCATGGGCAAGGACTTCATGACTGAAAAACCAAAGCATTGGCAACAAAAGCCCAAATCGACAAATGGGACCTAATGAAACTAAAGAGCTTCTGCACTGCAAAGTAAACTATCATCAGAGTGAACAACCTACAGAATGGGAGAACATTTTTGCAATCTATCCACCTGACAAAGGGCTAATATCCAGAATCCACAAGGAACTTCAACACATTTACAAGAAAAAAACAAACAACCTCATCAAAAAGTGAGCAAAGGATATGACAGACATTTCTCAAAAGAAGACATTTATGTGGCCAAGAAACATAAGAAAATAAGCTCATAATCACTGCTCATTAGAGAAATGAAAATGAAAACCACAATGAGATACCATCTCATGTCAGTTAGAATGGTGATCATTAAAAAGTCAGGAAACAATACATGCTGGAGAGGATGTGGAGAAACAGGAACACTTACACTGTTGGTGGGAGTGTAAATTAGTTCAACCATTGTA